CTCGAGATAGAGGGTTACAGAGTGAAAGGCACTGTTTATGGTGATATGTGGAGGATAACTAAGACCTGAACAGGTTAAGATTGGAGTGATTGGGGAAGCTTCTCTTAAGAGCCGGTTCCACAGAGCAATGGTTTGTAGGAAGAAGCTTCTAGAGTGAAACTTACATCTCACTAATGGAAAATGAATGAGGGCCAACCGCACTTTATAGGTAAATAATAAATAAATAAAATAATAATAATAAAATAATAATAATAATAATAATAATAATAATAATAATAATAATAATAATAATAATAATAAATAACCAAAACAGTAATAAATAAATAATGATAAATAATTAAATGAAGGTGGTTCGTTACAATGTGTGTAGCAATGCGGGTCTTAGCTGCAAAGCCAAGAACTGGTGGAACTAAGGGGCATAGTTCGTCTGAACACTTTCCATGAGTCTGCTCATGAAAAAAAAAGCAAATGACATTTTAATTGATAACTGCGTACTATTACGAATTGAGAAAAAAATTACTATACAGGGAACACTGACCTTAGCAGTTTCAAACTTGACATTTGAATTGCTTGATTAATTCTTAACGATTTATTAACCCTTTTCAAATTATTTAAGCCGGACAATATTTTCAGATTTTAAGACATTTTTGGAGATAATGATTTATGATTAATGACAAAAGTCGTACTAATTAACCCAACAAGTCTGTTTAATTAGTGCCCGGAAATAATAAAAATAATGGCTAATAATATCTTTATTCCGTCGTCACTGGTAGTGAGAAAAAGACTCTCGCATACAGAAGCATACACATATGCAAGCATGTACTGTATTTGAATTCCTAAAAGAAACCCGCTCATATCAGAAGCAATCCCATTTTAGCAAATGATCTTGAGGTAAATAATTTTCTTCTGTAGTGAAATAGATATGTCCATTGCCTGTTGTAAAGTGAAACAAATTTTCCTGAAATTTACAAAAGTAAATAAAGACACTATTTACATTATTCAGACTATTCTCCTCATCTTTGCTATATTTATCACAACGTTTCTGCCGTTGTACGCTCCGGCCTTCTTCAGGTGGTTGGAATGTCGAACTGGACCCTTTATTTCGCACATTGGGATAGACTGTTCTAGGTCCACGTGCCATGTTTAATGAATGTCAGTTCTCAGTTATCTCCTGTTAATTCCCGTCTCCAAGTTATCCACCACCTTAACCAGGTATTGAACTCATACCCTTTGGGTCCTGTCACTGGATCTAACTAACGCCTTTATGCACTGTGTCATGTGCACTTGAGGCACATTCCAGTACGACAGTAGTGAACAGTTTGACAATGTTCTCTTGGCACATATCTGGGATATGTTCTGACAGAGGACGGAAAGTACGACATTGAGATCCGATGACGTATTGGATGGCCAAAGTCGCATTACAAAAGCCAGGCAGAGTATTACGAGATGGGAGTATTTCTTTGGTAACAAAGAAAAGAGTATTTAACTGTTACGTGATATCTGTCCTCTTTTACGGCAGCGAATGGACAATCTCCACAAAGATGAAGAAATCACTCGAGGCAACAGAGGTGTGGCTCTACAGAAGATTGCTAAGGATATCATGGAACGAACATATGAGCAACGATGAGGTGATGCAAACAAAGAAGAAACTTATACTTAAAATCATGAAGAGGCAGATGAAATTTCTGGGGCGCCTAATTAGAAATTAGAGCTTAGAAAATCTGATACTCACATGACGGATAAAAAAAAATTACTGTATATAAAAAGCAAGCTAACACTATAGCTGAACATAAAGCAAGAAATCACAAGGAAAAAACAGTCATCGCTCCAACAATTATTCTTTAGCTACTTTGTATGAGTGAACAGCTGATATATGACTGTCAATACCTGGCTGAAACATTTAAGAGCCGGAGACGATAATAATAATAATAATAATAATAATAATAATAATAATAATAATAATAATAATAAATAACCAAAACAGTAATAAATAAATAATGATAAATAATTAAATAATAGTAATAAGATAATAATGATAGCAAAAATAAAAATAATAATAATAATAATAATGATAATAATAACAAAATTATTAATAAAAAATAATAAATAATACTAAATAACGAAAAACAATTAAAGAATGGCAAATAATAAAATAATAATCATGATAAGATAATAAAATAATAAGATAATAAAAATATAAAATAAGTAAATCTAAATAATAATAATAATAATAATAGTAATAATAATAATAATAATGTCGTTTGAGTAAATTTAATTATGGTGTCAGACTAAGTATATCGACTCCCCGAGCTAAAATTACATTTTACATGAATGAACTATGGTGATAAAATTAGCCTACTGGAGTCCTCCATAGCGCATGCACGAGCGTAGGCCGGAAAGTTCATAGGCTGACCAAGACATAAATATAAATAGCTACACCAGTTGGTAGACTAAATGTCATACAAGTGTACCAGAATACAAAAACATGCTGACTGATATATTCTTGTTCACTTGCAATGTCTTCTAGCCTACTAAATGGTGTGTCTACTAATATTTATATCGTGGTTAGCCAATAAACTTTTCAACCGACCTCCGTAAGACGAAGGATTTCTCGAAAACAATGAATCTTTAATATTGTCAAATACATAGGTGTCTATATCATTTTTGATATTCCATTAAATAAATTACTTCATATGTTTACATCTATACACATGGAAATACGTTTTATCATCTCAAATAGATACGCTTTCAAACGCACGCATGTATCCATGCATATAATGATTTACTGCGTATAGTATAGAATGTAGCACAAGGCCGAAAGTATGGAGCACCCAAATGAAGATCGAACTCACTAATTAGTTGTAACTGATCTAGCGAGACATGCTTACTAAACGTTACACCATGTCGAAGTGCCCGGCATCTAAGTATATGCACACACGTTTAGCACCAAATATGGCATTGTGCATATTGAAACATAAGCACCTGTTTCCATATATAGTCACCCGCATAAACACATTATAATGCCTCTAGTACACACGCATTGATTTAACTCTACTCATGAAATCATATTTAATAAAAGAAAATCCACTTTCACACGTATTTCTTTGGAAATAGACAGCTTATTTCTGACAATTTTAAGTACAGGTGTAATTTTTAAAATTTACATGTAGAAGTAGACATGTGTTCCTAACCGAAGCAGGCACAGGCGTACTTATGTAAAAATGCTCATATATATATGCTTACATATTCACAGAGTAACACACATATATATATATATATATATATATATATATATATATATATATATATATATATATATATATATCAATATATAATCAAGTGCATGCAACATATTTTTTTCTTGATTTTTCCACGAACGTGCCGAATTTAAAAGGGTGAAGGAGAGTGTTCGAGCATAAGGTCCCTTAATCAGTAATAGTACATGTGATTTAGGCGTTCTATAAAAAGTTATCCTTGTGCCAAGCAATTAAACTGATCTAATTTAGACTCGTTTAATGCTAAACTTAAAAAAAAAGACAGAAAGAAATTACTCATATACTAACGTACGAACGCCTGCACACAGCCAATAATCTTGCGTTCAGAAGACAGGTTTCCCTGTTAGTCTTAAAGTTTATGCAATTTGTTAAGGGCATTTTAACTAGAAATAAGAGACAAGTAAAGGGGAAATATACGCATACACAAAGAAATACATACACAACGAACGCATTTAAACAGGAAAGCATACAGGTAATTAAGTACACGCTCACATACAATTACACGCACGTACGTCTATTTTGCATGCAGCCATCTCTAATTAAACAGGCGTGCTCTCGTCTTTACTCACCTTTTGCGCGCATCTAATCGAGAAAAAGTAGCAATACAAAGATTGAAAGATAGCTCGAAAAGGCGTCCACACACGTGTACACGCAGAAACATGCGCGCGCACATGCGCACGCATACCGAATCACGAACGCCATAGAAGCGCCGTTCAGGAAAGAAAAGAGCTAAGCGGGTTGACGACGAATATGGCGGACAGCCTCGCGTTCCAGAGAATCTACTCATCAATTCGCGACGTCCCTCCTACTGATCTCAGCAAATCGCTTGACAGTTTCGATTAACAGATGAAGCTGCTGAATTCGGCAGGCATAATAAATTTCTTGCACACCAATTACGCTCCATATTGGGTTCCAGGTGGCACCTCACTGTGACATCAACCTTCAGCTTGACCGCAGTGAAATGAAGCCATTGCCGAAGTTATCTCCCCTGACAGCCGACCGACAGATGGCGTGCGGGTAATTCCTTTTTAATTGTGCTGCATTTAATAACTTGTGGAATTAAAATGCATCGATCTGCGTGTTTATTATTTCGTTTTATTTTTATTTTTCATTAAATGGAGGAAACTAGTTTTTCTCTTCTCATACCACAAAGAATTAAATCCTTTAAACCTCGTCTTCGACAATCAAATTCAGTGCAAGAAAACGTCATTATTATTTTACTTCTCCTCCTGTCATTCAAAGCTTCTGTGCAGCTATGTAAACATACAGGGCGATTGAAAAGTAACTCCCCAGTTTATGTATAATGGACTCTCCCGTCTAGCTATAATTTTTACAAGACGGGAGAGTCCATCATACATAAAATAGGGAGTTACTTTTCAATCACCCTGTATATGACAGGGACATGTTAGTAGTTCCGATGATCTTCCTATCTGATTATAAATAATCTCCTAATCTGTGTTAATATCATCTTATAAAGTAAAAACTAGGATAATGATTTTTTTATTTGAATTTGTGGAATAATTATTTCTATAGAAGCAAAATACGATATACTATAAATATAAAAAAATGATAATATAGTGTTGATGCTGTATATATTAGGTGGTAACAAAACTGTTTTAACAATTTCCGTATTATGGAGTGATCAAAGACCTGAGTGAAATTTAGGAAGAGCGACTGACCAGAAGATTGAGTTAGTACATGATCACAAGTTCTTAACTAATGGCGTCAGGTAGAGGCGGTCCAACGCTTGGCGCAAAATATCGGTTTGGAAAAGGCAAAATATGACAAAGAAGGCGAAAAGAAATTTGAAAAATAGGAAAAAGAAAAGAAAAGATAGACAGAGAGAGAATCTAAAGCGACAGACAGACAGAGTATGCGAAAAAGATAGACAGTGAATGTAAAAAAGAGAGTGATACAGAGAACGCAAAAAAGACAGAAAGAGACAGAGAATACAAAAGGGGAGAGACACGGAATGTAAAGAGAGAGAGAGAGAGAGAGAGAGAGACAGAGAAAATACAAAAAGAGAGAGATTGACAGAGAATGCAAAAAAAAAAACAGAGACTGCAAAAAATTGAGAGAGACGGCAATAAAGAGAGACAGACAGAGAATGAAAAAAAAACGTAAGCGAGCTAAACAGAGACTGCAAGAGAAAGAGAGAGAGAGAGAGAGAGAGAGAGAGAGAGAGAGAGAGAAAGACAGACTGACAGACAGACAGACAGACAGAAAATTAAAAAAAGTGAGATATAGAGACAGAGACTGCTAAAACGAGAAACAGAGAGACAGACAGAGACGGCAATAAAGAGAGACAGTCAGAGAATGCAAAAAAAAAACAAAAAACAAAACGTAAGCGAGCTAAACAGAGACTGCAAGAGAAAGAGAGATAGAGAGATAGAGAGAGAGAGAGAGAGACAGGGACAGAGCGACAGACAGAAAATAAAAAAAAAGGGAGATATAGAGACAGAGACTGCTAAAGCGAGAGAGACAGAAACTGCAAAAAAGAGGTACAAATAGTCAGAAATTGCAAAAAAAGAGAGACAGACAGAAACTGCAAAAGAAAGAGTGAGAGACAGACAGAGAAAGCAAGAAAGGGAGACACGCACAGATTGGAAAAACGAGAGATAGATAGACAGAGATAGCAAAAAAAAAAAACAAAAAAAAGAGACATACAGAAACAGCAAAAAGAGAGACGGGCAGACAGAGAATGCAAATAAAAAGAGAGAGAGAGAGAGAGAGAGAGAGAGAGAGAGAGAGAATAAAAAGACAGACAGAAAATGCAAAAAGAAAAATCGAAAAGAGACTGACAGAATGGAGAAAGAAGTCCCAACCGTAATTATATCAATAAATGTCAGAAAGGAAATCAGTTTGTTTTGAAAAAGAGCATTTAAAGCCTCGCCTTTATTGAAACCTGATTCGAATCCCAGCTGATTTTGTGTGCCATGTCATTCCATGATGTGGACGATCATGGCTCTTCACAACTTCCTGTCCTTTGTAGCTCTTAGCAACACTTGTTTTATTTTATTTAACTATCCTTTCAATACTCTGAAGTGTATTCCATTTATACAAACCTGTTGGGCGAGTTAGCGTCACCCTAGGTACTTCTTGCCCCCGACACCTCACTTCATATGTTCCACAGATTTCAGTTGACTATTGCTGATTTTATGTATAAATGATCTTTTTGTTTCTACTGCTTGAAACTTCCTCATTGTTCACATGCTCCTCCCATGGTATACTAAGTATTGTTGTGTAGAACCACATCTTGTTGCTTCAAGTGTCATTCTTCTATAAGAAAGGTGGGCATCATTCATTTCCATATAGGAGGGTTCATAATACATATATATTCAACACTATTTTCTTTGTTTCTAACAAAGTTTTCCTGTTTCTTTATAAATTGTTTAACTTTTAAAAGGCATATTTTCCTGTTTTAGTGCACCTGTCATATTCCCTGTCATCTGTACACAAACATCCCAGATGTTATTGTTTTTTGCACGTTTCAAAACAATAACACATTTCTAAAACCATTTTTTCGGATTCCATCTATATTTTCGTTTTCCTGTTATTACCAAGAAGTAAAAAACAAAAACAAATCTATTTCCATACCCGAGGATGTCTGTAGGAACAGAAGAAAGCTTGTAAAAACTAAAAAAAGACCTTATGCAACTGGAATTTATAAACAGGGATCATATCATTTATATATAGGTTCGGGGTTAGTGTACTTTATTAAAATTGTTGGCGAAGATGTATTCTCGCCATTCAAATCATTAACCTCTATATCTGTTTTTTGTATGAATGATTCATGTAATGTAAATTGAACTGCACCTTAAACTTGATATATATATATATATATATATATATATATATATATATATATATATATATATATATATATATCAGGTCATCCCATAAGTTCTGTCCGAATTTTGAATAAAGAAAACAAGTGACCAAATGTTACATTTAATTACTGATTCAATCAACAGTGTATTTTCCCTGATTATCTGTGACTTCCTTCCATCTATTAACAAGCTTACTAATTCCATTACTGTAAAATTCTTTTAGCTTTGATTCGAAGAACTCACAAATGTCAGTTTTAACCTCTTCCTGTGTTACAAAAGCTGTTTCTTCCAAATGATTCTGTAAGCTACGAAACAAATGGTAGTCTGAAGGAGCAAGATCGGGAGAATAAGTTGAATGAAGAATTTTCTCCCAACCAACTTCTTTGATCTTTTGT